AATCCGGCAAAATTTTCCTTTGATCGACCTGGGAAACGAATCTTTGATTCGGTGCTTGGAAAAATATAAAAATTAAATTTGCTACAACACTTCACATAAAGCAAATAATGTTTAGAGATAAGGATGGTAGAATAAGAGAGGAAATAGTTGGTAGGGAAGAAAAGGCGGAAACTTTATTGAGGGAAGGGAATAGAAAAGAGTATACGAATATGCTATATCTACCTTATTCTTACCAACATCCAGTAACAATACAACAATCATATGACAAAGAGAAATTACTATCAATGCAATTACCAAACATACTAGTGCACACCCTTAGCAGAAAAATATATTATCCCACAATAAAAAACAAAAATAAAATTCTCAGGCTATACCTGAGAAACATCTCAAGGAAGGAGTAACCACCTAAGATTTACCAAACCCTCGAGGCACCTTCGTTGTGTGGCATTGTGGGGGCTGGCCAGAAGAGTGTCGTGATAAAACCAATATATGACTCTCAGTTTTCTCTTAAGATTAGGCAGGGGTAGCGCCCTCGCATCTATAAACCCATTATTGTTTGCAGGAAGCAGTCCATCAGAGAGCATATCACCCACTTGATAGTCCCCCACATCAATGTTGACCCCTTGGACGGACGCGCAACTTTTATACTCGGATCTAGAGTTTATCCGGCAAAATTCCAAACTAGGGTTCTCTACTCAACCGTCAAACTTACTCATTTTAGGCCGAAACTTAAACCCTAAGTTCATTTTATTTCTCGTGATTATAGGGCCAACAACTGCAGTTAATCCTTAACCGGATAATTTCTATATTTTTCGCTAAAAGAAGTTAATGTCCTGAATTTTTAATCATATCAAACAATCTTCAAAAATCATGAAATTTTAACCACATCATATCCAACAATTGTAAGATTTACCATAAAACTTTAGCTAATATACCTCTTTAAGAGTTCAAAACGAAAATAAGAAAACGGGGAAGACTAGGGAAAAAGTGGCAAAGTTTGAACCCGACTGAGTTGACTCGGGCCTAACTCGGATCTGGGCGAGTCGGAGCGAGTTGACTCGGCTGAGTCGCGAATCTACTGAGTTAGGGCCGAGTCACACAAATTTGGGTCGGTTCGGAGGTGCAGGGCTCGATTTTGTGGCTGATTCGGCGAGGGTGGCTCGCTGCTGGTCCGGACTACGGGAGGTTCGTCGGACGCGGCGTGTTTCTCTGGCGAGGTGAGCTGCAAGGGAGAGGCGCAAACTTGAACTCGATGAGAAGCTCAGTTGCCAGAGCTGGGAGGTAACGGGACTCGAACAACGGTAGTTTTGAGCTCGCCGGAGCTGCTCGTCGTGGAGGATGAAGCTCTGCAGCAGCTTGAGGACGACGACAGTGGTCGAGACGCCATAAATAAAAGCTCGCCAGAGTTGGGAAGGTGGTTGCGAGCTCGCGTGGGTGCTGCCGGCGGGGTGCATCACGGGCTGAGGGTGGTGCTGGCAAGGACGACGGCTCGTACGAATGCCTGAAACTGGTCGCGAGTTTGAGCTGTGAGGTCGTGGTCGTGAGTTGCCGTCAGGGAGGAAGTTTGGACGAGGTGGCTGACCTTGGACGTGGGCTCACCGGGATGACTGAGGTGGTGCTCGCCGTGAGGAGCTCACCGGCGACGAGGGCTCTGTTTGTCTCATTTTTGTTGCGATTGTTCTTATTGTTTCGTCATTTTTTTCCCCACTTTATTTCGATTCTTTCATTTTTAGTGTGTTTATTGTTTGATTGTGTGTTTTTTTTTTTTTTTAAGTCGAGTCATTTGCGTTTTTTTTTTCGGTTATTTCTCTATATTTTCTGTATTTGTTTTTGTTGTTAGTTTGTAGGTGCGGGATCTCGACGGAGGGTTAGTTGAATAATATTTCGAGATGGTGAGTAATGATTGGCTAGATAAGTTCGTTGGCTACGCATGGGAAAAACCGAAATGCAATTTCGGTTTCAAACGAAGTCGTACGAAATCAGAACGTGAGTCATACAAACCTAAGATGTTAAAATCAGGAAATAAGCAAGCTGTAGATATTCTCCACGAGCCCTTCACGACATGCTGCATGTCACGGGATCACTTCAGAAAGCTCAATATTCTTCTTCACGCCGCGAAGCACAGTCACGCTGCGATCCTTCCCTCCTCACGCCGCGCCGACACTTCACGCCGCGGCGGACATCTCCTCGCGCCGCGGAGCAGCCTTCCTCGCGCCGCAGAGCATCCTCTTCGCGCCGCGAAGTAGCCTCTTTCGCGCCGCGGAGACCCTTCTCTCATGCAGTGAAGAATGTCAACGCAGGTTCAGTAAGATGCTTGTTGTATTATTGATGAAGAGCAGCTGGTAGTGGATAGTGAGTTAGTGAATATTCTCCTACTCTATTCACTTGGTCGGTTCTCTTTAGTATTTAGGGAGCAATTGCATTGCATGGGAGAGACACTCTCTTTTCTTTCCTCTTTTCCTTCTTCTCTTCTTCCAGCTTCTTTTCTGTTTTTCTTTCTGCAGATTTTTCTTCTTCATTTTCATTTTCATTTGCTGTTTTCATTTTGTAATTTTGAAGTCGGTTTGTACGTTGGATATTCGTGTGGTTTCGTGTGATTTTACGACGACATTTTCTGGTTACTCGTTTGGATTGTAATTTCCTGTTTTCTTCGTATTTCAACTTAAGCTTGCAATAAGAACGTAAGTACTTTGTTATAAGACTTATTATTCCGATATTGTATCCAGTTTGCGATCTCGTTTGTAGAAGTGAACTAAGTTTCGGTTAATGAAATGTTGTTTGAGTTTATTTATTTATGATTTTTGCACCGTTGTCAACTCTTTGTTATGTTATTAAATCATTAAAGTTAAACGTGTGTTAGGAAAGTCGTGACTGATGTTCTAAGCACGATTATTCTGTTATTGCATGTTTTGCTTTAGCTTTGAGATTCATAAATAGAGTTTGATCCATTTGTTGTGTTTCGTTATAATAATCGTTGGCGAGCCGGTTAGGAAGCTAAGGATTTTGATTGTGGTTATTTGATTCGTTGTTCTTATTCTTAATTATCCGGTTTAGGAAGTTAAGGTTTTTAATTTATTCGTTCGTTTAATCATATATTTATTATTTCTGTAATTCATATAGTTGATATTAATCCACCTATCGATTAGAATGTTTAGGAATTATTTTATATTTATGTGTTTTGGACAATTAAATTAGCAAACGACGCTCCGAACAGTCTTCCTTTGAGAACGACCCGAGGTTGGGTAACTCGGTTATAATATACCCACGAAAAACTGCTAAACAAAATGGCGCCGTTGCCGGGAAAGGCAATTAGGACGCCTAGTTTGCTATTTAATTGTCCTATTTTTATGTGTTTCTCTTCGTTGTGTGAACTTTGATTAATTTCCGTATTCTTCTTAATTTCTTTTGAGTTTATAAATAGATTGTGTTGTAATTGTGATTTATTTTGTTTCCCATTGATGCCGTGCGCGGGTATAGTTGTTGTTTGTGTTTATGTAGGGTAGACGAAGAGGTAGACCTCGTAAGGAGACCCAACCGATCGATCTCTACGTTGAACTTAACATCGAACAACCGCAACCCGAAACCGGACCCAAACCAATGGGGGAGCAAAGAGAACAAATGCCACCACCACCGCCACCGAACATGAGGTATTTTGCTTGGCCAATTATCGGAGACAATACTTCATGCCTCGTGCTCGGGGAGGCGGCCCGGAACTATGACCTCAAGACAATCCACCTCAATCAACTTCCGTCATTCCATGGCCTTCCACAAGAAGACGCCCTCAACTTCATTCGAGAATTTTATTCAACGGTCAACACTTTTCCCCTCCAAGGTCTCAATGAAAATCAACTTCAGATGAGATGTTTTCCCTATACGTTGAAAGATCGAGCCAAGACTTGGTTCATGACGTTGCTTCCGAATTCACTTTCCAATTGAGAAGCCGTCTACGAAAAGTTCATGAGAAAATATTATTCGCAACAAAAGGCCACCGATCTCCGTACTCAAATCGCTAGCTTTAGCCAAAATCCCGGTGAAACATTTAGCGAGGCATGAGAGCGGTTCAAGGGGTATCAACTCCAATGCCCGCACTATCACTTTTGCCTCAGAGTGTTGAATCAATTCTTTTACGATGGTCTACACCAAAATCTCCAATACATGGTAGATCATGCGGCCGGAGGAGACATCGGGAGTCACACGGAGGAGGAGATTTATGCACTCTACGAGATGCTTAGTGAGAATTCACAAAGGAAGAGTGTACGAAAAAAGACTTTTGTGAACGAGGAAACACCATCGTCCGGATCCTCTAACGATGTCGTGATTGCCAAGTTGACCCGTTTGGAGGAGGAGCTAAAACAAATTCGCATACGAGATGTGAAACCAAGTCAAGTAGTGATGGTCGAGATGTGTGGAAATTGTGGAGAAACGGGGCACGGAGAACATGAATGTCCAAGATACAACGAACCGGTTTACGACCAAAAACATGAAGGGATTCTTTATGACATCAATGCGATCCAAGGGTATGCTCCTCGGGCTGAAAACGATCCCTATTCCAACACTTATAACCCGGGGTGGCGAAATCACCCGAACTTCTCTTGCAGAGACCCAAGGCTAATTATGCACCACAACCGGCACCTCCTCAAAATCGACCTTTCCAACCGAGACCCAAGTTTCAAGGGTACCAACCGAGACCCGATTTTCAAGGGTACCAACTGAGGCCTGAGTTTAAAGGATTCCAACAAGGGCGTGGGGGATTTGCTCCACGACAACCCATGCCCTCTCCACCGGAGCCCGAGAAGGAGACCAAAGCGAGTTCTTCGGAAACTCGAATTGACAACTTGGAGAAATACCTTCAAAGCCTCGCATCGA